CAACAACATTTTGACAATATCAACACCACAGATTACAGACAACATATTAACAAATCACAACATAGATATCAACAACATTTTGACAATATCAACACCACAGATTACAGACAACATATTAACAAATCACAACATAGATATCAACAACATTTTGACAATATCAACACCACAGATTACAGACAACATATTAACAAAGTCACAACATAGATATCAACAACATTTTGACAATATCAACACCACAGATTACAGACAACATATTAACAAAGTCACAACATAGATATCAACAACATTTTGACAACATCAACATCACAGATTACAGACAACATATTAACAAAATCACAACATAGATATCAACAACATTTTGACAATATCAACACCACAGATTACAGACAACATATTAACAAAGTCACAACATAGATATCAACAACATTTTGACAACATCAACATCACAGATAACACACAACATTCTGACAAGACTATCATATTAGTTCCTTATTCCATTAAAAACAAGATCCCCATACCATGAGCTGTTACAAGATCGGCTTCTCTGGTGATTACACGTTTACCATAATGATTTCTGGAAGTGCTTAATCCAGAATTTAAGTAAAGGGTGTGTCCGTTCTTTACGTATCCTACAGCACAGATATTAAAAATATTTTTTTAATTAGTTTTTTTAAAAAATAACAATCTATGAAATGAAATGTTTGAAATATGCCTTAAAATACACAGAGCATAATAAAGCAATTACTATTTTTTTTATAAGGAAACACTTCTCAACAAGCAACCCTTTTTTACAATGAGAATAATCTATAATAATGAAACCTTTCAATCACATGCTTAGTTGAATAACCTTTTACAGTTACAATGTTTTAAGATAATTCAAAGCCCAATATTTTATTTGTGAAATGGCTTTTAAAACAAACAGAATATACTACACCTTTCTCAAATTAACCAAACGTTTAAACAGAATATACCATTTTAAGATCACAGTCTAATTTACAAAAATTTTGAAAGATCATTAATTGGATGAGGAAAGATGGGGGTGAAAGAACTTGTCTCAATCCACGGACAATTAAAACATTGTAATATTTCTTCAAGAGAGAAATATTAATTCTGTAGGCTAACAAAAAATATTTGATATTTTTAATTTTTGATAGTATTTTAGAATAAATAGGACAACTCTAAATTAGACAGTATTTAAATTTTACATAGTTCAATATATTTTAGAAATCGTATCCAAGCAACTAAGAATCAATCTCATAGATATTTTACTGTATACTACAGCTAATATTTCCTCCTGTTATGGTTAAGTATCCTTCTTTAAAAAGGCTTAGTGATTAACTGATGTTGCTTCAATATATACACTACTGCAGAAATATTTAATGATCTCTAATTCAGTAGTGTGTAATATTGTATAAGAATTGTTAGACATCAATTCAAAATTTGAACAACATAATTTTTGGGAAATCAATCAATTGAAGGATCCGGATTTGTCCGAATACTCCATCTTTAAATGCATTTTCCTAGAATAATAATAATGTTTCAGTAGTAATTAAAACAATGTTGAGGTTTAGAAAAAAGTTGATTGTTTAATTAAATGAACAAAAAGTCAACGACATTTTATATATACACACATTTCGCCAAGAAAATTCTTCAATGTTACGTTTATAATTCAGATGATCTAACAAACTGAAAAACACACTACATAACAGTTACATTTATAATTCAGATGATCTAACAAACTGGTGTGTTTTCAGTTTATTAGATCATCTGAATTATAAATGTAACTGTTATGTAGTGTGTTTTCAGTTTATTAGATCATCTGAATTATAAATGTAACTGTTATGTAGTGTGTTTTTTACATAACAGTTACATTTATAACTCAGATGATCTAATAAACTGAAAACACACTACATAACAGTTACATTTATAATTCAGATGATCTAATAAACTGAAAACACACTACATAACAGTTACATTCATAATTCAAATGATCTAATAAACTGAAAACACACTACATAACAGTTACATAGCAATGGTGTATTATTTAGCTGGTAGTTTCCCATAATGACAGTACTCCAACCAAGTATTTTAAATATTAAAGTTGAACTTTAACTCTTTTCATGCTCGGGTGTACCTGTTGCATGGTTTATTTTAGTGCATTATGAAAACAAAACCAATAGATGAAATAATTTGAAAATTCAGAAATTTCTAAGGATCTTCACAATAGAATATTTTTATAAGTAATATCTGTATGAATTCTCAGCTTTGAAAATTCAAGATAATACATTTTTTTCAGGAATAATTAAAAATGTCAACCTTTGTTGTAAATTTAAATTACAGATTTTGCTGTCTTCTAGCATTCTTTTAAAACTTTCCAATAAAGTTTCTATTTAATAAAACTGTATCTTTGTTTGGATTTAAAAAAAAACACTTTCGCTGGTGAACAATGACTATTATATTGTATCAAAATTATAAGCAAGCTTTCGTTTAAAATTGTTAATCAGGTTTCATTTGATACAAAAGGATGGTTTCACATAGGTGTAATGTTGCAGTGGAAGATTTCATAAAGGATTGGAACAAGTGGAAGTGGGGAACTCATAAATTGGACCCACGATCAAATAGGACGAATGCCGAGATGATGTTGATGAATACGTTTTAAACCCATTTTTTGACATTTCTTTTTCTATACAAGCAGTTACTCAGGCCAACACAACAGCCTTGTCTCAAAACAAAAGGTGACGTGGTCAAGTGCAAAATGATTTAACTAAGCCTACTTCATCTTGTTCCAAATCAAGTACAAAATGATAAATCAAGATTTTTGTATGCTTTAAAAAAAATCAGGACTGTAACCATGGCAGAACAAATATCTAATAAAATATTACCAAACTAAGCTCTTATCTTTACATTCCAAGCTCTAAGTGAATCTGGTGAACCTAGTAACATATCACCAAGCTAAGCTCTTATCACTTCATTCCGAGCTCTAAGTGA